AATCCTATGGGATCCCTTAGGAATCCTATAGGAATCTTATAGGATCCCTTAGGAATCCTATGGGATCCCTCCCCTTAGGAATCCCTTCCTATATATAGGATTCCTAAGGGATCCCATAGGATTCCTAAGGGATCCCATAGGATTCCTAAGGGATCCTATAGAATTCCTAAGGGATCCCATAGGATTCCTAAGGGATCCTATAGGATTCCTATAGGATTCCTAAGGAATCCTATAGTATTCCTAAGGGATCTTATAGGATCCTATAGGGTCCTATAGGATCCTATAGGGTCCTATAGGATTTCTAGAGGATCCTATAGGATTTCATAGATTTCCTATAGGATCCTATAGGATTTCTATAGGATCCTATAGGATTTCCTATGGGATTTCATAGGATTTCTAGAGGATCCTATAGATCCTATAGGATCTTATAGGATCCTAGCAGAGCTCCTCATAGAGCTCATAGAGCTCCTCTATGGGATTCCTAAGGGATCCTATAGGATTCCGAAGGGATCCCACAGGGTTCCTAAGGAATCCTATAGGATTCCTAAGGGATCCTATAGGATTCCTAAGGGATTCCATAGGATTCCTAAGGGATCCCACAGGGTTCCTAAGGAATCCTATAGGATTCCTAAGGGATCCTCTAGGATTCCTAAGGGATCCCATAGGATTCCTAAGGGATCCTATAGGATTCCTATAGGATTCCTAAGGAATCCCATAGGATTCCTAAGGAATCCCATAGGATTCCTAAGGGATCCTATAGGATTCCTATAGGATTCCTAAGGAATCCCATAGGATTCCAAAGGGATCCTATAGGATTCCTATAGGATTCCTAAGGAATCCTATAGTATTCCTAAGGGATCCTATAGGATTTCCTATAGGATCCTATAGGATTTCTCGAGGATCCTATAGGATTCCTCAAGAGCTCGCTGCACCGGTGCGCACACGCGTCGTGCTGTCAGAATCCGCATGGAGGACGTAGCGTTGAGAGCTTGGTCTGTGGAGGTAAGCTTTCGGGGTTGCTGGGGGTTGCTGGGGTTGCTGGGGTTGCTGGGGTTGCTGGGGTTGCTGGGGTTGCTGGGGTCCCGCGGTTGCCCCCGGGCCGGTCAAGTCGGCCTTGTCCCTAGGGGAGGAGGCGCTGTGGAGCTCCCCAGTGGACGGGCCGGTCAACTGCGCCTCGTTCTTGTTGTTGTTGTTGTTTTTGTTGTTATTGTTATTGTTGGTGTTGATGTTGTTGTTGTTGTTGTTGTTGTTGTTGTTGTTGTTGTTGTTGTTGTTGTTGTTGTTGTTGTTGTTGTTGTTATTGTTGTTGTTGTTGTTGTTGTTGCTGCTGCTGCTGCTGCTGTTGTTGTTGTTGTTGCTGCTGCTGCTGCTGCTGTTGTTGTTTGTATTGTTGATGTTGCTGTTGATGTTGTTGTTGCTGCTGCTGGTGTTGTTGTTGTTGATGCCGTTGTTGTTGTTGTTGTTGTTGTTGTTGTTGTTGTTGCTGCTGCTGCTGCTGCTGCTGCTGCTGCTGCTGTTGTTATTGCTGCTGCTGATGCTGTTGTTGCTGTTGTTGTTGTGGTTGATGTTGCTGTTGCTGTTGCTGTTGTTGCTGCTGCTGCTGCTGTTGTTGTTAGGCGTCGTCCCCCCCCGCGACCCGGCCCGCGACCCACCCGCGACCCACCCCGCGACCTGCCCTCGACCCACCCGCGACCCACCCCGCGAAACACCCCGCGACCCGCCCGCACGACCCGCCCGCGACCCACCCCGCGACCCGCCCGCACGACCCGCCCGCGACCCACCCCGCGACCCGCCCGCACGACCCGCCCGCGACCCACCCGCGACCCAGCCACATGGTTTCAACGAAAATCGGCGCCTGCGGCGGGCTCGTTGTACGTAGCACCCCGCAAGTGCGGATACGAGTGAGGGGGCGGGCGAGGGCGATGCGGGCGTCGATCCGGCGGACCTCGTGGCCCTCACCTTCCCTGTCGATGGCGCCCTCCTCCTCCTCCTCCTGCTCCTCCTCCTCTTCCTCGTTCGCGTCCTCGTCCTCATCGTCGTCGTCGTGCTCAGACAAGTTCAGCGCGGTGGGGATCGCTGGTGGGACACCCGGAACGTATGCAAAAACAGCCCGCCGCAGGCGCCGAATTTTTGGCTTGTTCAGTGGACGTAGTTTGGGTGGCGGGTGGGTCGCGGGCTCTCCATCTCCACCTGGAAGGGACTCAAAAACAGCCCGCCGCAGGCGCCGAACATTTTGATTTGTGCACTGAACGCAGTTTCGGTCGTGGGTTCTCCACCTGGAACGAAAGCAAAAACAGCCCGCCGCAGGCGCCGACGTTTTGGCTTGTTCAGTGAACGTAGTTTGGGTCGCGGGTGGGTCGCGGTGGGTCGCGGATGGGTCGCGGGCGCGGGTTCTCCACCTGGAACGAATGCAAAAGAAGCCCGCCGCAGGCGCCGAGAATTTTGGGTGGGTCGCGGGGTGGGTCGTGGGTGGGTCGCGGGTGGGTCGCGGTGGGTCGCGGATGGGTCGCGGGTGGGTCGCTGGTGGGTCGCGAGGTTGGTCGCGGGTGGGTCGCGGGTGGGTCGCCGGTGGGTCGCGGGTGGGTCGCCGAGGGGGTCTCGGGGTGGGTCGCGGGGTGGGTCGCGGGGTGGGTCGCGGGTGGGTCGCGGGTGGGTCGCGGGTGGGTCGCGGGGTGGGTCGCGGGTGGGTCGCGGGGTGGGTCGCGGGTGGGTCGCGGTGGGTCGCGGATGGGCCGCGGGTGAGTCGCGGGGCGGGTCGCGGGTGGGACGACGACAACAACAACAAGAGTCCGAAACGCGGAATTCCATTTCAGCCACGCACCCAGAGACAGTGAATGACCGTTCGGTTCAGCCCCCTCACTCTGATAATTTGTAAAGACTCAGCGCCTGCAGCGGGCTTCAAAACCTCGCAGGCTGAAGACGTTCCCGCCACCCCCTCACTCTTGTCCGCAACCGCGGGGTGCTACGTAAATCAGAACCTCCCCCTCCCCCTGAGAGTGGATTCTCCCCTGCCAAGGCAGAGTTGGTCGGAGGAGAGGGGCGGCACGGCCGAACTTCATCATCGCGGGGGAAAATTTCGAATCAAAATTGCGATCTATTGCGTCGCAACATCATCAAACACGTGCGGCATGGCAATGGGGTTGTCACCATGTCATCTTTCGCAAGTCACGAACGTGTGCGAGGGCTATGGGATGCTCACCACTAAGTGGACAGCTGAAGCGACTTCAGCTTTCCCAAGTCACGAACGCGTGGCAGGGTTATGGGATTAGCACACTCTCAGCCCCCTCCGAGTCAGGAACGTGTGGCAGGGCCATGGCATTCTCACCATTTTAGCTTTCCCAATTCACGCTGCTCCTGCTTCCTGCTCCTGCTCCTGCTCCCCTCTGTTCCTGCTCCCCCCTGTTCCTAATTAGTCATACATCCCTCCTGCGACTTGGGCCGTGTTGGGTCCTTCTTGGGCGCTTGGGCGCCGCTTCGGCCGTTTCGGGAAGATCTTGTCGGCCCATGCGGCCGTCTTGGAATACGCGACTACTGGGTGGTGGCGCCAGGGTGGTTCCCCCCCCCCCCCTCCGCGGACAGTAGCAAGTTTAGAGTGGGAAACGAACGGTAAAGTTATTACATTGGAGATAGGAAACTAGACATGTTACAGCGTGCGCGCATGGAGGCCTCAACCACTCAACATGTTGGCCTGGAGCGGGTTTCGTGGATTTTTAAGTTTTTCTTTTTTTGTTCTCTCGCTCCCTCTCTCTCTCCCTCCCCCTTGTTTTGTCTCTGCGTATGCTGATTTCCAACTCGTACACGCACTGTCTCTTGTTCTATATCTCGCAGCTCCTGAGGCCCAATGCACTGCGCAGGCCAGGAGCGCCGAAAAACTATATGTTCTCAGGGGGCAGCTGATGGATTGGAGGGAAAGATGAGCTTCATAGGGGGGAGGTGGAGGAGGAGGAGGAGGAGGAGGAGGAGGTGCATCCTGGGTCAGAATACCACCCTCCCGAAGCCCATGCACGGCCCGCCCTCTCCCGCCCATCTGCCCAGGCCACAAGCGGCACTGGCCGCAGTAAGGCCTTAGCGACAGCAACGCCGACCACGGCACACAGTTTCGCACCACGGCGAGGATCGACCACCTCCCCCTCCTCCTCCTCCTCCTCCCCCTCCTCCTCCTCCTCCTCCCCCTCCTCCTCCTCCTCCTCCTCCTCCTCCTCCTCCTCCTCCTCCTCCTCCTCATACTACTCATACTCATACTCAGCCCCCCGAGACCCCCCCCGGGACCCACCCCCATGGGAGGGAGAGGACGGGCCATGGGCCCCTGGAGGGTGGCGTTCTGACCCGGGACCACCCCCCCGGGACCACCACCCGGGATCCCGCCCCCCCCCCCGCGCGGAAGGGATGAAAGGGAAGGGGCTTCCGTGCGACTCAATGACAACGTTGCTTCGTGTTTCGCTTTGGCTGGCGTGCTTGAGGACGAGGGCCAAAGGGAAGGGGGGAGCGGCCACGGACTCAGGGGAAGGTTGGGACGTGATGACGGCGGCGACGCGACGGCGGCAGCGACGGCGATCGCGACGGATCAGCCCCTGTCACGCGCCGAGGGTGGGTCGGCAGATCCCTGCCCACTGTTCTTCGGCATTATATTTCTCAATGGAGCGGGCACTGGCGCTCATGCTCTTTTCGGTCGCTGCATTACCTGTTTGTTGTATAATATTGGTTGTGTGTGCGCGTTTGTGTGTGTGTGTGTGTGTGTGTGTCTTGCTTGGTTCCTCGGATCGCGGTCCGTACGACACTGGAGTACCACTAGTGTGCTTGAGTTCGTGCAGCGCTTAGCAAACAGAAGGCGGCAGCGGGCAGGAATGAGGGATGTGGGCGGGGGGAGGACTGGGATGGCGAGGGAGGGCGACGAGGAGGAGGGGTGGAGCAGTGGGGTGGGAGCGATGAGGGAACAGCTGGAACGAGGGAGGCACTTCCCCCCCGCGGCCTGGAGACCGCCCCATTGCTTCGGCCCCCAGGCATCAACATGGACGAGGAGGTGAGAAGAGCCCTGGACAGCATCGACGAGGAGGAGGTCCACGAGGTCGCTCCTACCCCAGCTCGCCCTTCGTCGTGCTCCTTCGCCTCTTTCGGACTGCTCTTCCTCCCCCCGCTCCCTCCACCTTCCCCGTCGTGCTGCTGCTGCTCTTCCGCATCGTCCTTGCCAGCATCCTTCCTCCACGTCGTCCTGACTGCTCGGAATTCTCCGCATCCCCCTACCTCCTCACCCTCATAATTCTGCCTCGTCGTCTCCTCCTCGTCCGTAACCATCCTTCTGGCTTTTGTCCTCCTTCCTCCCGTCTTGTCCTTCTCCATTCGTCCTTCTCCTCGTCCGTCTCTCTGGCTCCCCAGTCCTCTTCCTCCTCGTTCTCGTCCTCCCTCCTCGTTGTTGTCCATGTCGTCCTACCTCCTCCACCTCCCTCTCCTCCGTTTCTTCCTCGCTCCCCTGCCTTCTTCCTCCCCCTCCTCCCTCAGGGGGGCGCGTTCTGACCAGAATTTCGAGGGGATCCAGGAGCCCCCCCTCCCCCGCAGGCACGAGCGTCGAACCTAGCATCCAGTGTCCTCCCCTCGCCTCTGCCCCCTCCCCCTCCCCCACTCCGATGCCGACCGGGATCCGCGCTGCTGCCGCAGCCTTGCCCCCTGTTCTGGAAGTTGCAGCGGGCCCGCCCTCGTCCAATGTGGGGGGTGGGACGACGGCGGGGGGGCGAACGGGCGCCGGGAAGACAACGGCGCCCCCTCGCGAAGAGCGACGCGCGACGGTGGCTGATCGTTTTTGTCCCCCCCGCCTGACAGGCTGGGGCTGTTAGAGTTTGAGAACAGAGTTTGAGAACAGACCTCCCGGCCTGCCCACCCTGCATGCCGCGGCTGCCGCCAGATCGACTGGTCCACCACCACCATACGTTGGGGGGGGAGGGGTCCTCCTCCTCCTCCTCCTCCTCCTCCTGTTGATGTCAAAAAAATCTCCTCTTCCTCCTCCTCCTTCTCCTCCTCCTCCTCCTCCGCGAGTCCCCCGCGATCCCCCTCGCGCCGACCCGCCCGCTCTGCGTGCCGCTGCCGCCATATCCCCAGGTCCACCGAGAATCCTCGAGACTCCCGCCTCGCCCCTCCGACGATCACGACACAATCTGACAGAAAGGAGCATACACCACACATCATAGCATATCAGGGAATGGCACAGCATCACATACCATGCAATACTATAACATTGAAACTATCACATACCCATAATAGGGCATACTTATGCCATACCGCACAATCACATAACACAGTATGTCATAGTATAGCACGTCATACCATGGCATAACGTTACATTGTGATGCACTAGCATCATATGGCGTGTCAAGCCATAGCACATGACAACATAGCATGGCAGAGCATCGCATACCACACCACAATACAGCAACGCATGCGATGATAGAGCGGATCACACAGAACAGGCAGAGTGTACAATCGCACAGCATAACCTACCACTTACAATCAAGACATAGCATGTCGGACCATGGCATATGATCACATACCATGTCGAAACCGAGCATCACGCAACGCATCATAAAAACACATACAATGTCAGAGCGGGGCACACTGAGCATATCATAGCACCACGCGTCGTAGCATAGCAGAGTACATCATAGCACAACATCCAGATCATAGCATCGCATGCCATGGCCGAACATACAATAGCATGCGCCAGTATCCCAGACATAGCATGACACAGCATAACAGGACAGGGTGCGGCATACCATATGATGCAACCATAATACATACCACACCGTATCAGCATACCAGACCAGGGCATACCATAACATGGCATACCACAGCGTACCGTACCACATCGCAACACCGCACACAAAGAAATAGCTGAGCACACAGCACGTACCTAACACCACACATCACATCATATCAGACACACACATGTTAGCATTGCTTACCATAGCAGAGCATAGTAGAACACCGCAGCTTATACCATATCTTCACAGCTCAACGCACACTATGCCATGACAAACTATACCCTGACAGAGCGCGGACAGTAGTCTATAACGTAACAGACCATGTCATAGTTCTACCATCTCATAACATAGCATGCCACGATTGGACACACAATGACATAACGCAGCATGCAGCAAGATGTGACATACCAGCGCATACGTTGTCACACTGCAGCTTAGTAGAGTAACTACGGCAGCAAACTATTTTTTCGTACCAGACTTCTTGTATTATTGTTGCCGCGACGGCAACGCATGTAATCTAGTATCATCGCCTTTAGCCTACTGCAGAGGGGACCAATGGCTTGGCATGCCATAACATCATCGCATGAACACGTCACACCGTAACGTGCAACGCATAGCATAATTGGTCTACTACTGATAACACTTTGACAAGAGTATCTACAACATCTCTGACTAACATGTGAGTGAATACGTACAGACCTATCATTGACATATCAGAACAAGCTGTGTGATGGTGAACTGGACACAGCAAACTACCATAGCCAGGCAGAACCGTTAATGTCATAACATGGTGCCGCAGAGCACTCCATGACAAGGCAGGTCAAAGCACATGGTTACAGACTTGGGCATCTCACAGCATACGTATCTTTACACAGCAGAATCACATGAGTGAAGGGTAGCAACAAAACCATATAATCAACCACGACGTGCGCGCCGAGCTCAGGCTGGCCACAGGATCCAACAGTCGCAGCAACGACCGACTGGACGACGTATCTAACGTGACAGGCGTCACGACGTCACGCCGGCCGGGCCAGAACATATCATGACAGAGCATGACGTGATTCTTTACATCGAAGTTGAATCCAACCGACCAGAATATAGACCCTCCTTATCCTCCTCATCCTCCTCATCCTCCTCGTCTCCGAACAAACGTTTGGGTCTTGCTCACACCACGCGTTTTTTTTTTTTTTTTTTTTTTTTCTTTTTCTTTCCGGTTTTCCACCCCAGGGGGCTTCTTCCTACGAAAACCTGGGGCCGCTAGATTTCTGAGCAACGGCAATTTGCGACCTGGCCCGGCCGCTGCGCTGGCCGATACCTCGGGTTCTTGCGCGCATCGTTCCAGCAACCGCGCACCTGCAGGAACACACGCCGAAGGTTTCAATGTGGGTTGCCCGAAGCAACTTTTTCTGTTCTGTGTGGTGGGGTTGGGGAGGGAGGAGGCACCCATGTGAGCGGAAACGAGACTGTGGCGAGCTGGCCCGAAGGCTCTTCTCGGTGGATCCCACGTCTGAGGCCGATTTTGAAGTCAGAGCTGATCCCGAGCGGAAACATGAGATTGTCCACCCTGCTGGCCATATCGACAGCACATCGACGAGCGTTGCTGCAGCCTCCCCTGAGCACAGGCCCCCCCAACCACAGAGCATCAGCCGGACAAGTGGAGTTACGTGGCGATGATCGTGAGTGCGGTTGAATGTGTTGCAATGTAGCTCCCCCTCACAAACTTCGGGAGAAGCATTGTATCAATGGCACGTCGCCGTTGTGCCCGTCAGCGTGTTACTCCTTCGTGTTTGTCCGAAGTCTTGTGTCCCCTCTTGCAGGTGAAGCACGCCGATGGGTTACCCACCGCGTCGTGTCATTGATTCTTGTATCTTGCGCCGAAGCCTTTTTCTCAACAGTGGGGTCACACAGAGGCAGATTGCCCCGAAACGCAAGTTGTCTTTGCGCACGCAGTCGTTTGAGACTTCCCCGCCGCCTTGCTTCTTGGACCTCTCTTGTCCCTCGTCGTTCAAACCATGTTTGCCAACATTTTTCACGGTGGAGGACAGGGACGCAACCACAAAGAACACACGCGCTGCCAAGTTTTCCCTGGAGGACAAGCCCGAGTGGGCTTCAACGGACTTGCCGTTGTCTGGACTAGTTCTTCGCTCCATGGGGTTCGGCACGAAGAAGCTGTTCCTGAACTCGGGATTCGCGAAGGGCGTGCTCTTGGGAGACATCGGCACAGACACCTTCCAGTTGGTGGGGGGATGGTGGTCAAGGCAGCTGTCTCGGAGGACAAGCTCGTGCTTGTCATACGGGGAGGGGTGGGAGGAGTACCTGGCGATGGGCGCAGGATGGAAGACGCTACGGTACGAGCAGCCCGGCAGACTACAGCGAGGAGGAGCTGGACCTAAAGCGCACGCCAAACAAGCCGAGAAAAGTGAATGTAAGGTCGCGGGCCACCGCCAAAATTGATTACGACGCATCGGCTCGATGCACCGTGGTCCCATTTTTGCTTGTGAGGGCTGGACGGATGAAGCTTGACCGCAGCGTCGGAGGCCAGGTGGTTCACACCCTGGTTCGCACCAGCCTTTTTTTTCCACAACGCATCACTTCCCAGATTTCCCATCCCGCACAATTTGGTACACTCCAGCTGAGCATTGCCAAGCGCCTGTTCAAGAGTTTGCGCCCGAGCTTGTACAACAAATGTGGGAAGCTGGTCATTTCAAGGATCCCCGTGCGAAGCGCCCAGTCAGTCTTTCGGAGAGGGCGCAGCGGAAATCCGGCCAGGCGCCGACAGCGCAAAGTTGCACCAAATATTGCCCACCATGCGAAAGAGGGATTCGACACTAGTGGCGATGCAGGGGGCGCGCGTGTGTGCAGCGCCGTGGTTCCTGTAGATGGCTTCCTGGCGAACGAGAGCGAACTAGCTTAGGACTTGGTATTACGCCGCAGGTCAGCGCACCGCCAGGGTTTTCTAGCAGCACAACAACCGCATTGCAAGCGTGAGCCCTTGCGGGATTGGTGGCTCTGTGTCTTTCATCAGCGGTTACGCGCCGCGTGCTGGCCACGACTTCGAGTCGCGGCGCACTTTCTTCAGCGATCTGCGCGCTTTGATATCGAAGACGAAACCGCGCGGGTCAATCGCCCCTCTCTGTAATTTCAACGCCCCTTTTGCGGAATTTGTCGCGGGGAATGGCCAGATTGCATGCTCGACGCCGGCAGCTGGCAGGGCCCGAGCTGATTCTGCCGCGTTGGTCGGAGGCAACAAGGGCGCTTGCGAACCGCAGAAAGCAACGTGGGAGACGCTGGCAAAGCGCGGGCGCGATGGCCACAT